CCTCCCCAGCCAGGACGAATGATGGTGAATTTCCCCGACACAGATAAATCAACCACAGTTGACCCCAAACGACACTCTGGGCTCTGGACATCCCCTATGGGACCTCCATCAATGACTAAGGACAACTGTGGCCACAGGTCTTTGAATTCCTGAGAAAAAAAAAAAGAAAAGAGATGTGGCTAAGGGTCCTGAGGATGGTTTGTGATCGTGTTCTAACAGATGTCCTGGTGTCAAGGGAGGTTGTCTCTCTCCTTCCTCTGTCAGGTCAATCCACTTTTTTTCTGTCATTAACACATCTCAGTTTGATTTCTGAGAACAGATTTATCTCAGACATGCAGGAAATCCACAAGGTTTCTCTTCTCAGCTGCACCACTGTTTATTAGGGAGCACACAAAAAAAGCTAGATGTCTATGAAATCATCTGGGGGCAAGGACAGGGTGTCTGTCTGGTGCTGTGCCCAACTGTACCATCACCAGGGTCACCAGCTTTGTACAAAGACATCTCGAGTAACAGTCAGTTACCAGGAGCTGTACAGACAGCAGCAGCACTTTGCTGTGTATCAGCCTTTAAATGTTACTTTTCAGCTCTACCCTCCTTGCTTTGTAAGGTGAGGACCACAGCAAGACAGTCACCCCACACCCACAGGCTGTTTTAACAAGATAAATGATAACAAGATAAATGATAACAAGAACGGCCTGCCCAGAGAGGTGGTGGATTCACCATCCCTGGAGGTTTTTAAAGAGATTGGATGTGGCCCTTAGTGCCATGATATAGTAATTGGAGTTGGATCAGGGGTTGGACTTGATGATCTTGGAGGTCTTTTCCAACCCAATCTATTCTATGATTCTAAGATTATAATTTACAAACAAATAATGGCAGCAGAGAAATCCTTGTTTTATGTTAAAGTTGGCTTCCAAGTGTGAGAGCCTGGGGCTGAAACTACCACAATAACATCACTCAGTGGCCAAACCAGCCTTACCGAAACCGCCAGCGTGCTCGCCTGACAGCTGATGTTGGCGCTGGTTAGAGCCAGTGGTCCAGAGCAAACTCGTGCCAACTCCCTAATGAAAGGGTGGTTTGGAATGCGAACACCAACCAGCTGGGGGGAGGAAGAAGAGAGAACTGTTTTACACGCAGTGAGCAGAGACCATTTCACCTTGCGTTGTCTAAAGCCCGCTTGGCTTGAAGCTGATGCAGAGAGAATCAACACTTTTTTTTTGCAGTGACACGAGATGTGCTTTTGTGATTCAGCCCCTGATGCCGGGTCCTGTCACGTTCAGTAAGTCATGAGGAGCAGGACAGCACGGGGAGCAGCGTCACCGCTCAGCACACAGCCAAGGACAACAGCTACGGCAGCAGGAGCACAGGGAGACAGAGCCACGTCCTGCAGCGCAGCCCTACCGAGGTGAAGGGGTTCAAGTCCTTGTTTAGTTCCTCCGACCGTTCCAGGACCAGGGTGACGGGCCCGGGCAGCAGGTCACGCAGCAGCTGGTCCGGCACGTTCACCTGGCAGTACCTGCGGGGCAGAGCAACGCGGGTCACGGGCGGG